TGTGGGTCTCCCCAGGATAAAGCTGTTGGAAGAGAGATGGAAAAAAAGGTACAAGTTTAAGACAGATATTGATATTTAATTGTACCTCATAGAGCCAAGTTCCAGCGAAATCTGACCATTGTAGTCAAAGAGCATTGTCCACTAGGGCTATTTGGTGGATTGTGTGAAGGAGAATTTGAGATGGCAAGAAAGGTATGAGGTCAGAGGCAGATAACAATATTCAATTGAAACTCGTGGAACCTAGTTCCAGCAAAATCTGACGATTATAGTCAAAGAGCATTGTCCTCTAGGGCTATTTGGTGGATTGTGTGAAGAAGAATTTGAGATGGCAAGAACGGTATGAGTTCAGAGGCAGATAACAATATTCAATTGTACCTCATAGAACCTAGTTCCTGTGAAATCAGACCATGATATTGAAAGTACATAGTCCACTAGGGCTATTTTGTAGATTGCATGAAGAAGGAAGATTTAGTATTACATTTAATTTATCCATCAAGATCAGTGCAGCATTCTCCCAACAATAAATATCCAGAGTTGTAGGCAATTTACATAACAATGTAATATGTTACATATCTATATTGTGTTCCTAATTATCATGTGAAAATCAGTGGATAGCCAGTGAATGAAAATTAACTTTAAATAAAATGCATGTTAGTTGCTCACAGTAAGGCCAGACTTTTTTTATTCCTTGTTTCGCGAGGTTTGATAAGGCAATTTTTTGAGGAGGGCATAAAAAAATAAATTAATTCTTTTTTTTCCCATTAGATTTGTGTGATTCTCAAAGAATTGTAGGTGAGATCATTGATCAGAAAGAAGAAATGAAATAAAATTTTATTCCATGTATAACCTTGTTTCTCATCTGTGTGAGACTTCGGTACTTTGATCATGATACTCCCACGAAAATGCAACTTGGATTTGTTATGCGACGAGCGGTAAAAAAATGAAGATAAAAATAATATTTTTTTATCATTTTTTTGCGCTTACAAGTCGGCGGGCGCGAGAAATTACGCTGAAATAAAATTACATTTTTATTTCATTTTCGGCTCCTATTCATTCGGCGGGTTCGCAAAACAAGGGATAACAAAAGTCTGGTCTAAAACACAACAAAAAAATATATGGATATATATTTATATGGGATCACCTACATTTTAAGGTTTAAACCAAAATATATAACTATCACTGATACTTACATGTCATCATTGGCTTATACCGATCACATGTGTCTGATGGATATTTATCATAATAAAGATGACATAGACTGGTTTTATTACAACATAAGATGTAACCATGTTTTTGTGACTCCGATAAATTGTCTATTTCAATAACACCACTGTCTGGAGAACCTAAAAAAACAGAATGTAAAAATTAAAGAGTGGTAGTCATCGCATGTGCGACATTTGTGTTGATAAATCCAGTGCGCTCTACTATTAAATGGAAGTATGAGGTTTGACGGGCGCAACTTGCACTAATTATCATTGGTGACTCCTTCAATACCTTCCAATCACCTAAAAATATCTAATTAAAGCTTGGTAACGTCTCAGCTTTTACTTATTGATCTGCGCAACAGTCAAAGTCGCCATCTTTGTTTATATGAGACCCATATGTCTTGTGCATACTGCCCTTTAATAACCTATTGAGTGCCACCAAAATCAAATTTTATCACCATCAAATATTCAAACCAGCTGAATTTTTGCCATATTTTTTTTCAAAATTTTGATCAAAAACAGTAGCTAGTAGAAAATTGTGTCAATTTGGTTCAAAATTATCAACAAACTTACCAAAAATAGAAAAAAATTTTACAAAATTTTAGTGAGAAAAACTATGGTGTTTAACGGTTTAAATCAAGGTTCATTCTTAGGGTAAATTTACTGCTCTCACAATCAGGGTGTTAGCCAGCCAACAGTCTACCCACCAAATGGACTGGCAACTTTTTCCCAATTTTTCTGTTTTTTCCTATAATAATTGTTCTTTGATAATTTTACCAAAATATATCCAAAACCATCTACATTTTCATGAAGTTGAATTTTTTTGGACTGGCAGTTGCAAATTCCTGTCTAATAGCCTGGTCACAATGACCTAGAAAAGACTATAGAAAACACTCAGTATTTATAATAATATATTTGCCACATCACTAATATAAATACAGTACAGAATGAGCTTAATTCAACATTCATCTCTTTTTCAGTTTTTGTAGTCTCCATTCAAAAAAAATTCTAATCTGGAAAAGCTCTGCAACAATTTGACATTTGAGGTGACAAAATGATTTGTTATCTGTATGAATATTCATCTCTTTTAATAAGCCTACAAAGATTACCATCCATAACTTTGAATAATTTTTGTTTTCAATTTTTATTATTGCCTCGACTTTCTGGAAATATGGTGCAGTTATCTATATTACAGGTTTTTTTCTGGAAAAAATGAACAAGAGGGAGCACACACGAGTGAGCGATTCAACCTGAAAACGCCATATTAGAAGGTTTCTGCGTCGCTTTAACGGTGTATCTCTCGCAATTGAAATATTTTTTGAGTAATTTTAGTGTATTTGGTGTCCAGACATATTGTCAGCTGGTGTTTTCTTGGAGAAAAATATAGTTGAGAAAGATTTCATGTTGTATGGCAGCACGGAAGTGTGCGCATCAAGAAATATATTTATGACTTGTAGTTCAATCGGCAATTTGGTAATAGAGAGCCAGCCGAGAGTATCAGGCCGCTATGCCCCTAAACCGGGGGTTTAGAGAAACCCTGATATTATAATAATAATTAAAAATAATTTTGTTCTTACCTTTAATCAACGCACCATACATAGCAGTATGTTTACCACTACTATAACAACAATGTTGTTTACTTCCTTGTTTACTAAACAAGCTGGAAGCGCAGTATGTGATGTCATCAAATTTAAACCTAGCATCTAGTAGTGCTTGATTCATTGTACATGGACACGGCTGTGATGCAGCGATGTATGACGACGTGTCAGGATGGCTATCATGCCACTGAATACAGGCTTTCTGTGGATTTACTTGGTTGGCTACATTTACATCAAATGCCCATCTCCCAAATTTATCTGCAAAAATATGAAATTTGAGTACATATTAAAGCAGGGGAGTTGTCACCTGCGCATGTGTCAGATGGCCATAGTGTGTCATTGTTTACAAACAAGCATCTACCCATGAGCTTATGCGTTTTTAGTGTGTGTTGTTATCGTCACTTGGGATTCAATTTCCGTGCATGCGCAGGTGAAGACCCTCCCGCTTTAATCAAATCTTTGGATACCGTCCTATTCATGAGACCTCTCCAAAACTTTCTAATGTTTACTAGGTTTCACTCCACAAGAAACTGCCATTTTCTCTCAATTTAGCAACAAATGTTGACATTATCATGCTTTATTGGCAAGATTCTTGCTGCTTTATTAGGGGCTGCATAGTAATTACATATTTTGCATCACACATTGATCGAGTTTAAGTTGCGCATTTGTAGTGACTCAATCACACTTGTATTGCATATTTGCATTGTACATTTTTATTTTTGAAGAGAAATTGAAACTTTATATCAGAAACAATAAACAAGATTTCTATGATTGCTAATGTCTGCCAGAATATTTCTTCAAACAAGCTGATATAGCTTGGCTGTACAGTTAAAAATAGCACTTTTTACCAAAAATATTCACTAAAATTAGAGAAGTGAATGTATGATCCCAAACAGAACAAATATTGACACATTCGGGCTACCAGTTTTCAAGAATAAGTTGAAAATAGCACTTTGGGCTGTTGTGCACAACAACAATCAAGGTACATGCATAATTATGGTTTTGATTTTATCTATTCAACACAAGTTTCATCACAAATTCAAAAATAGTCCAGTTTATAGTCTGCACTTCTCTTCAGAAGAATGGAACAAAAATAGCCAAATTTGACTATAAATTGACTACAATTTTGTCTGTTTGATCCAAAATTAGGGTTCATTTTCAGAAATATTGAAGAATATAAGAAAAAAAAGTGCAGAAAAATTTGGACGGGAAAGTCCGATAGTGTAAATACTAAGGTTAAATTTCTATGAATATATAAATCATAGCCTGATCGGTCAATAGTAAGGAGTATCGAACAACAATATCAACAGGGTCCATAGCACCGTGAGCCAAATGATTTCCAAGACTTTTCCAGACCTTTCCAAAACTTTCTTGCATTATGACCCCTAATTCAGGCCAACATCATCACCAAAGCTCATCAAAGTTCTAAGGATATGGTAGTTTCCTGAAGAAAACGGGCCTTTCTAAAACAAATTAATAACTATGAAAACTTTTCAAAGATTTTTTTGTTTTTCCTGTAATTTTAATAAAGACAATCAAAAACTTTGCAGACCGAAAAATCCAAAAACCTTCAAAGTGTTTTTACAATGCTATGGACCCTGATCAAATACAAATTTCCATCCATATTGGATTTTTAAAGTGTTAAAAAATAGATCAATACTTACTTGTGTTGTATCCAAGAAATTTATCAATTTCATGAATTTCACTTATAAAGGATTCATCCACAACATAGAAGTGATCCACACCATCAGAACAACCAACTTCTATTTTCCTATTAGACATAATCATATTTAATGTTATCTTGCAATATACAACAATGCTAACTAAGTATTATTATGATCTGAAAGTCAGGATTTCAAGATTTACTGTAAAACATGTTGAAAATGTAATTTTAGCGAATTGTGGTAAAATGACGTATTAGCGAAATGTTGATTTAGCGAATCTCTCGTCATTGTTGATTTTTTTGTTTGGCGGCCATTTTGAATTGATAATAAAGTCATTAGCGACATCTTAAATTAGGGAATCAGTTCTCTCGCTAAATTCGCATAAAGACATGCTCGCGAAAAAGACATGTTTTACAGTATATGCTGTCTGTCAACAATGGGTTGGCGAAAAATAATTTGTGATCGTTGTAAACTGAGAATAGACGTCTCAAGGTAGAGTGAACCAAATGAGTATTGGCCACCAAATACGGGAGGAGAATAACGCACTGGAGAGGAGCACTTGTAACTAAGATGTTTATTGCTCAACTGCTAGGCCTGGAACTGAGTCTAAGTACTCACAAGATGTTTCATACAATGATCAATATCATTATGCAAATAACTAAACTAAACGTCATAGCCTTAAATCATAACAATCGCACACTTATCAGTTTAATTTCAGAATTTAAGTCACTTCATAAATCAGCTGAAATTAAAAAAAAAAATCCTAGCACAATGGAGCGAATATCACAAAATAAATCATCTAACATCATATTCAAGGCATTCACATGCAATAAAACCCGAATATTGAAGATAAAAAGCAAATGCAGCATCCTTATATTGGATACGGGTACAATTTATTGCAAAATTGACAATATTTTCAAAAAAGTATTTTCATTTATGATTAGGTGTCTACTTTCATTTTTAAATATACCTTTGGTCAACATTATCTTTTTTCCATTGCATTTCACCAAGACCATAATTAAACAAAATATAGGAGGAATCACCATCTGTTGCCATGACAACTTGAAAAGTGGATGTCTGAAAAGTAAAAAAAAACAAGACAATAGAAAACTATATTATTCAAGAAACATATTTAGACAGAATATTATGTATAATAGGTGATTTTCTGTTCAACTGCGAGATCTCGTGAGTTGCGTGAAAGATTTTGAACTCAAATTTCTTTATTTCATAGGTCATATCGAAAAGCCAATCTTTGACAGGGGAATATTACGTTTGAATACAATTACTTCATTGAAATTGACCATCATCAAATGTGTACAGCACATTATTAAGCATGGAAATATCCCCCACGATGAATCCCACGTTATGTTTGTCACCACTACGACGCTATGACTTTGGTTTGTCCTGCTTTTACGTTCGATTTCATGCATAACGCATGATCTCGCAGTGAACATAAAATGGTCTATTTAAAAATGTGAATATGTGGCAGTTTTGAAAACAAGATAAGGTGACTTTAAACTACCTAGCC